CTCTTGCAGCGGCTCCGGGAGCAGCGGGGCGGAGGCGGGAGCAGCTGAGCCGCCGGAGAAGGTACCGATGCCGCTTGCCGCAGGGGCGAACCGTCCTCTCCTCGTCGCCGCTGGCCCGTGGGCGAAGGCCGGTGCTGCGAGCGGAGAGCCGGGCGATGCCGTGAGCTGCCGGGGACCGGCACCCGCTTCCCATCCGTCCTCCCCGCTGGAGCGGCCGCGGTCAGGGCCGGCGTCCCGCTCCTCGGGGGGGTCCCGGAGAATTCCCACCTGAAGGAGCCGCCAGGCGCAGACGGGGCGAGAAGTAGGTCAGCCAGCGCCCGGGGGTCCTTTAGCACAGTGTGCTGCCGGCCTCTGGGTCTTGCGAGCTTTCCCTCCTCCAAGTTTTAAAGCCTTCGTTAAGCTTGGAGGTTGTCCCTCGCTTTCTTCGCGGACGGAACGAAAGGAACGACGTAGCTATTCACACTTGTGCAAAGCAGGTGTCTGTTTCATAATTTTCCAGGTGCCGGTGGTTCTGCTCCGGGCTCCCGGTGGCCGCGGGGCAGGGTGGCCCTGGGGTGGGACTGCGAGCACCGGCACCGGGGACGCGCGGCTGCCAGACCCCGCTGTGCCTCTGACCCCCTTGTTCCCAGAAAAACTTGAAAACAGGATTACTTTTGCTTTTAAAATACTGCTTGAATGACGGTTGTATAAAATAGCGAATTGTTTTTAATTCTTTGGGACGCAACAGCCAAATCATCTTCTTGCCAGCCAGAGCCTCGCCGAGCTGCTCCTTTCTGACGTGGCCTCCCACCCTCTGCACGGTGATAGGTGAAGGTGTGTGGTATATGACCTTAAACGTGGTTGCACCAAAATATCTTTTGAGGTTTGGCTTTGGTTTGCCCAAGGTTTTGTGGTGGCGTCGCTAACAGTTGCTCTTCAGTAACTGCAGAAGCTGAAACGGTTTGGGAGCAGCACCCAACCAAAAGTGTTTTTTTTAATGGAGTTGCGTTGTACCTGCACCTTCTGACCCCCCCGAATGCCGCGCACGCGTGAAAACATAACAGCAAATTTCCTTTGGTCTCCCTGCGGACTCGTAGGTCGTGATCTTCAGCCACCAGAAAAGCGGCAGAAGGTAGAAAATCACCGTGGGCCCTAAAATACCGAAGCTCATCTCTCTTTGCTCCTGCCGTGGAGGAGGTTCTTGGGCGGTTGTGCCACACAGACGTACTTTTCTTTTCTCTCCTGTCCCTCGCCGTACAGCTGTGCTGCTGCTTTCTGCTGCCGTCTGCTCTTGGCACAACCCCATTGCATTTCAGGACTGGGTAACGCTGCGAGGCAAGATTTCCTTTTCGTCTAAATACTTTCCTTCAGTTGTTCTCCAGCGTTGTTGTGTCCGATTCGCGTTTAATCCAGTTCGTTAAAAAAAAAAAAAAGCCGTGAAGCTGGTAATTGAGTAAGAAATGTGGCTGTAACACCAATATTTCAGGAAATATCTGTTAATGATACATTATTCTTTTGGTTCTGGATGTCTTAGCAAGGCAAAAAGCCAGTTGTGCAATTGTCGCAGGGTGCAATTAGAATGTGGAGTCGCTTGCTTTCTGGATGAAGAGCTGCTCTTCACGAACAACTGGTTTAATGGGAGGAACCGTGGAGCGAGCTCTTAGGTCGGCAGCCGTACTGTCGCGCGAGCCGGCGGCGGCAGGATTCAGCAGAGGGGTTCCAAAAATCGGGGAAGCCCGATGGTGTGGGGGGCAGCGGCTCTGGCGTGGGGCGGTGGCGGGTGGCTTCGTGCCTGGGGAGGCTCCTCTGCTGCTGAAACATCTCCTGCAGCACCTCGGCTTCTGCTGCTGCCGCCCCCACTTGTATGGGAGTTTTAAGTGGAGGGTGATGTACCCAAATTTTCTTTTTTAACCTGGGAGTAGCATTTTCAAGGATGTGTCTGTGCAGCGGTGGTGGCATCCTCCCCTCGGATCGGGGTGCTTGCTGCAGCTCCGTGGGGTTTTGAGGCTCACCTGCTTCTTCTGCTCCTTTGCCCGGTGTCCACCTTCACCCACCTCCCCCTTCCCCAACACCCGTATTATTCCTTTCCCTCTGCCACGGTTCCTCGTTTTCTTCTTCCATCCTTGGTGTGGGAGCTGGTACTATCTGTGTCTCCAGCTGGATCCGGTCCCTAGTGAAGGCAGGCAGACCTGCCCCCCCAAATTCGTTATGCTTACAGAGGGGTAGAGTTCATCCGTGTAACACCACACGTCATTCGGGTGTTCTGGGAGCGGATGAAGTCCGACGGGGCGGCTGGCGCCCCACACCACGCACAGCCAGGGCTGGCGGTGGCTGACGTTGCCATCGTCTGGTCTGAGACTCATCCAACGGGTTTGTCTGGGAGTTTGGATTTGGGCCCGAGTGCCCACGTGCGGAATTGACAGCGTGGGTTTGAATATTTATGTGCATCTTGAATCATGCTTTTAATTATTCCCTCTGGAATAACAACTCGCCCTTGGTTATGTGGCACAGCTTCATGTGCAGTTGTTTCTGAAGGACTGCGAGCCCTCGTTTTGGAAGATCCTTTTCTGAATGAGCCCCTTGAGCGCGGAAGCCCACCCGTCTCCCCAGTGTAGCTTGGGCAGCGTCCGAAGGCGGAGCAGATGAGGGGCCCTGGGGCTCCTGCCGCGTGAGGCGGACCGGGCGCCCCGCTTCAGCCGAGGTAACCCCGGGCGCATCCCTGCCCGCTTCACGGGAGAAGCTACGCAGCCGGGTGAAGTGGACTTGTGGGTGCCGCGTGCCCGTTGCTGTCACGCTGCAGATGTCCGTGCAGTGCTTTCGGTTTGAGGCCAACGCTTGGATACTTGAAGTGGTGTGAAAGCACCGTAACTAGTGTTTCAGGGCTTGTTGCGGTGACGCCGGTGGTGTTTCATAGTTGCTCCCTTTCTGCACGGCTGTGTCGTGGAGGGTGGGACGTCGGTGCGTGTCCCTGCATCCTTAGGGTGAAACCATCGGGGGTTTCCTCAACAGCCACTCGCGGCGAGGCTGCCTCCGGGGAAGCTGCCCGCTGCAGCACCCTGCTGTTAGCTGGAGAAGAAAGAAGTGGCTGTGCCGTAGGGCAGAATCGGCTGGTCTCCAGCACGGAGCGGGCTGCTGTGGAAGCTCCTTCTCTCTCTGTACGGCTCTTTTTTGGTTTAACTTCAGCAGCCAACTGACTGAACTTTGGATTTGTCTGTGTAGTGGATGTATCTATTTTATTCAGAAGGAGGGAGGCTGCAGGCATGCTTGGGTACTGGAGTTAGGGGAGATGAGAATACCCACGCAAGCGTGTTGGCTGGATAGAGGCAACCGGTGGCTTTTGGAGGGCAGGAGATTTTCATCATGTCCCTGATTTTCATTTTTGCCTCTTTGTGGGTTTTTGCTTTAAGCAGAAAATGACAACATTTCAGTACTGTAGCGACACCTACACAGGGTATGTAAAATTACCTCGATTTTTTTTTTTTTAATGACACCTGCTACGATATCACTTTTGAAAAAGTTTTAAATAAAAGAAATAACTGCTGCAGTCAGTGACAGTCTATTTCTGTTGCTATGTGAGACTGAGGACCCTAATCCATCCAGGGAAGATCCTTTGTGGGTTTGTTTAGTGCCCATGATCTCCTAAGTGCTGCACGACAAAACTGCCAAAGGTGCCTCCTGAGAACCTGGCTGGAAGTTAAGTAGAGGGTCAGGCTGCTTATTTCAGTGGCTGTAGCTGCTTTACTCTCCAGACAAATTTCCCTTTTCCCAAAGGGGATACGGAAACGTCTTCGTATTTTGAGGCTGTTGGCATCTTGGGTAGCTGCAGAACATTTGGACACCGAAACGCTGCAGCTTCTGCTGTTGGAGGGTGGAAGGTGAGCTCTCGAACGTGCGTCCTGGTTTTGCAGGGAGCCGAAACAGCTGTAGAAATTCAATGAGTCCCGAGAGCTGCTTCAGCATGGCAGTCGGCGAGTTAGCCCTGTTGTTTGTGTGCCAGCTTGTCCTGGCTCAATGCAATGGGTTTCAGACCTGTGGGGTTCAATTCAGCGCTTCCAAAATGCCATTTTTATCCCTCCTTCTGGGTTTTTTTGTTTTTTTAAAACATCTAGTGACTGTACAAGGAAAGAGCACCTATGCTTTGGATCGAACAGCCAGTCAGCCTGAAGAGCTGCCCGCGAATGAAATCTATCGCTGTGACAAAAATGGATAAAACACGCTGTATCGTGTGCGCCGAGCGGCTCAGGAGGATTTCGTGGAGAGGGAGATGCTGGAGAGGCAACTTGTGTGCGCAGCCCTGGGGGCCTGGCTGCTTCACAGCGCTGGGTGCGTGCCGGCTGTAACTCGCCCTGCAGTTTGGCAGCGTCGCTTTGGGGCGCGACGCCCACCTCCCTGGGGAAGCGGAGCAGCCGTTCTTGCCAGGGCCCCGGCTCTCCTCCTCCGACCCCCTTACCGTCGCGACGGGGAGGCTTTCAGGAGGCTTTCCTCGCTGAGGATTTTGTGCAAGTTGGGTACTTTACATTCTCTTTGCGCCTCGGAAAATCCCCTCTTAAGTCTGTTGTAGCCTATATTTCAGTAATTTGGGCGTTTTCTGTGTTGTCAAGCAAGAAGCAGAACTGCAGCCTCCCCAGAATAAGTCGTCACTGTTGTGCTGTTTGAATTTCAGGGTGTGCTGTGAAGCGTCTCATAAAGCAAACAAAAAAGAGCAGGTAGGCTGCTGGAGGAAATACAGTGCTTGGCACTCAACAACAGTATGAAATGACAGTTTTCCAGCTGAACCTTGATGCAAGCATGAAAGCAAACTGGACTATAAAATATAATTGGAAGTATTTGTTGAAATCTTGCTGTCATAGCCACGATGGTCCTTATTCTTTAAAAAAAGGGGGGGGGGGAAATATGGAAAAAGGAAAGGAAAAGGGGGGAAAAAGTGGTCATGTTTGATGAGATGATATTTTATCAGTGGTTATTTGGCTTTTTTTTGTCTGACACAGTTTTGGCCATAAGCTTTCTCCATTAGATCCGAAGGACCTCAGCCCTCTAACGGCAAATTCTTCTTTTTGAATTCCAGTAAAATAACTAAATGTAACAGATTAGGATGATTCTAAGTCACATAATCCGAAGGGGAAGGTCCTCCGCATTAGTGTCGCGGAGCTCGTGGTTACGGTGTATGAATAGCCTGTGACTATGAGGTTCTTAACCTGAAAGGTGGAAAGGAGTTTGCAAAACGCTGGTTCTGTGGCTACGGTTAACTTATTTCAGTCGGGAGGTAGAATATTATCTGTACCTTTAATAAATTGACTTATTTTCTTGTTTGCCCTATGGGGGAAGCGGGAAAGGACCAGTATTTAAGAGCGCTGCTGCCTGGCCGGCTGCTCCACGTGGGGTGCGAAGCTGTCTGGCGCGGTTCGTGGCGCAGGGGCCCCCGGCGGGCGCCCAGCGTCTGCGGGCGAAGGCGGCTGCAGAGCGCTGGCCGCCTGATGTCTGGGGAGCTGTGCTGCTTGGCTGACCGTGCAGCGATGGGCTTTTGGGAATGGGGGAGAGAATACAAGCCTCTTGCTGGACTGGTTCTTGGGATCTGCCTGTCGCAGTATCGGGAATCGCATTTGAGAAACGTTACTGAGCCTTGAAGTGTGGCTGGGTTTAAATGAGGCTGGCACGTATGCTCTCTGCGCTCCCCTACCATAAAGTGGAAGAAGAACGCTTTATCTAAAAACCATATTTGGCCCGTACTGTTGGTTTTCCTGCTGCTTTGAAGACTTTTCTGTGTTAAAATCTTCTCGTCTTGCATCCAAGTCATTTTTCCTCTTGATTTTGGGGCGGAGGTGCCGTGGCTGGCTGGATGCGCTGCGCCGGACCGTACAGGTCGCGGGGCTGGTCCCTCCGGACCCCGCCACGGGGAGAGGACGGAGGCAGGTCCTGCAGCCTTCGGCCGCTCGAGCGCCTTCGCTGTCGCATCTGCGGGAGCCCCTGGCTCCTCCCCGCTTCTCGTCAGCGTGGGCTTCGGCTGTAGCTCCTCGAGCACGGTCTGTGGCCATCTCGCCTTGGAAACGGGCATCCAAGAAGAAGCGTACCCCCTTCACGAAAACGGGGCCTGTAGGGATGTTCTGCTTCTAGAGCTCTCCTAGGAGAGGAGTTGGCCGTGAGGACAGCTTTGGTTGTGATCCAGTGTAAGACTGGAGATTTTGGCAGGAGGTGGCTTTAGAGTCTTCATCCAAGACTTTGATGTTTTCAGGGTGAAAACCGTGTCAGATCTGTTCTTAATGCTGAAGCAGTCTCCGTGATGAAAACCACCTGCATTTATTCTGGCTGTCTCAGGCTGGGTCAGGTGTTAATCACACTCTTCCCATTTGCACTGGGAAGGCTGGATGAACGGAGTGACTGGCTGTATGTTGTTGAAGATTTGCTAGCCTGAGGGTGGCCCGTCGGCGCTTTGGAGTCATCGCTTACCAGCTACACCGGTACGTTTTAAAAACAAGGCTCTAGCTCAGCTGATACTCCTGCACGGTGACGTGCTAGGCAACCAGTTCCGCCATCCTGGATTTCCAAAGAGGGTGATGATGGCAGAGAAGCTGCCGGTTGTGTTGCGGTATGGAAACTGCTGTAAATAACTGACGTTAGTCTGGAAAATACAGAACGCGTAAAAACCAGTAGCCAAACCCCCTTGACTGCCTGTTGCACGGCACAGTCACAAACTGCCTGTAAATTTGGTCTTTTCCATTTCCAAGTGAGGCTGCTTTTTGTCAAAACACGAACCTGAAAAGGAGCTGGAAGTGTTTGTGAAGCAGCTCTTGGCTGTTAGAGTCTCGTGTGGTGGTTATGCTTCAGGGCCTGGGAGGAGGTCGGTGAGGTAAGGTTGTGGCTTCTTAAATTGAAAGTTAAAATGGAAATTACAAAAGGTTTAGGAGGAATCCAGAGCTTAAGTCTTTCTTTTCTGCTCATTCCTGCATTTCTAAATGATGAAGCATCTTAAAAAAAGTAGGGATTTCTGGAGAAAAGCACTGAAATGTCCGTGATCACAGTAAAGTCGCTGGCCAGGCTGCTTTGATCTGAACCCCCGCTCTCCCGACGGCTCGTGTTGTTCTCCTGACCGGAACGGCTGACAAATCTGCGACGCTGCTGGCGGTGCCGTTTCTAGATAACGAGACCTGAAAAGTCGTTGTCGTCACTGGAGTCGTCGGGCACGCTTGTGTGGCCTTCCTGTGATGGGGACAAGGAAGAGCAGCCACGCTCCAGCAAGGCTGCGCTGGGGTGGTATGGTACAAGAGGATCAAACCGAACCTGTTGGGTGAGGAAACGGGAGGTGAGCCTGGACCCGAGAGCCGTGGTCAGCGTCGCAAGAGAGGCAAATCGAAGCGTTGTTTGGTAACGTGAATGGCAACTGTGCGGGGCCTGGGCTGGCCTGGCCGGGGTCCTCTCCTCGGTC